GGGGCCCCCTTAGGGGCCCCTGAGGGGGCCCCTAAGGGGGGCTCTAGAGGGGCACCTAAGGGGGCCCCTAAGGGGGGCTCTAGAGGGGCCCCTAAAGGGGCCCCTAAGGGGGCCTCTGGAGGGGCCCCTAAAGGGGCCCCTAAGGGGGCCTCTAGAGGGGCCCCTAAGGGGGCCCCCCGGCCCCTCGCATTGGGGGCCCTGGGGGTTCCCAAATGCTGGTGCAACCCCTGGGGCCCCCAGGGGCCCCCAGGGGCCCCCAGGGGACCCCAGGGGCCCCCAGGGGACCCCAGGGGCCCCCAGGGGACCCCAGGGGCCCCCAGGGGACTCCAGGGGCCCCCAGGGGCCCCCAGGGGCCTCCCGGGGCCCCCAGGTACCCAGTGAGCCTTGGGGGCCCCTCTTAACAGCTCGGGGGGCCCCTGGGGCCCCCAAGTTCTCAAGGGGCCCTTGGCGGGTTTAGGGAAAAGAAAGAAGGGGATAGATGGTTGCAGCGAGGGGGCCCCTGTGGGAAGACCCCTTAACAGGGTTTAGGGTTTAGGGTTTAGGGTTTAGGGTTTAGGGAATGTGACGGGATCGTACAGAGTGAGCTGCTTAGCTCAGTACACACGTGGCTGTAAAACCCTAAACCCTAAACCCTAAACCCTAAACCTCTTCAGGAAAGGCATGCATAACTTTCTCCGCAGCTTCAATTTCGCTTAAAACCTTCAACCCTAAACCCTAAACCCTAAACCCTAAAAGTAGCCGTTAGTGTGCGCTGAGGGTTTACAGCCCCTAGCACGTCGGCACATAGGGTTTAGGGTTTAGGGTTTAGGGTTTAGGGTTTAGAGTTAGCGGTTGAAGAGTTGTGATTAATTTAATAAATAGGCACTAAGCAGCAACATTAAAGCAACGTGGACTAAGAGCAAGAGAGGACCCCCGTCGCAACAGCAGCAGCAGCAGCAGCAGCAGCAGCAGCAGCAGCAGCAGCAGCAGCAGCAGCAGCGAGGAGGACGAAGCCAGGCACACGCGATCTGCCGCTTCCCTCTCGTGTTTGTTTTTCAAACTTCATTCTCTGCTGCACCTTATCTTTTGAAAGACAAAGAAGCAGCAACTCATTGGGCTTGCGCAGCATATCCGCAGCAGCAGCAGCAGCAGCAGCAGCAGCAGCAGCAAACCGCGCCTTCGGCTCAACTTTGCTGCCAGGGCCCCCCCAACCCCTCTCTCCCCGCCCGGGCTCCTCTGTGGGGCCCCCGTGTGCGCCTGCTCCCTCCAGAGCGCCGCTGCTGCAGCAGCAGCAGCCGCAGCAGCAGCAGCAGCAGCAGCAGCCGCAGCAGCAGCGGCGGCGGCGGGGGGTCGGGGAGTGCGGCCGCGGCCGCGGGCGCACTGCAGCACGGGGAGCAGGACAGCAGCAGCAGCAGCAGCAGCAGCAGCAGGAGCTTGGTGGGGGGGGAGAGTCCGGGGGAAGTGTTGCTGCTGCTGCAGCAGGTGAAGCAGGGCCTGTGGCAGTGGCTGCTGCTGCAGCTGCTGCAGCGCTACAGCAGGGGCCTCAGGGCCCCCGTGGGTACTGCAGCAGCAAAGCGGCGGGCGCTCGTGGGGGCCCTAGTGCGTTTGGCGGACTCTGCGCGGTTCCTGTGGGACCAGCAGCAGCAGCAGCAGCAGCAGCAGCAGCAGCAGCAGCAGCAGCCAGCAGCAGCAGCAGCAGCTGCTGCGCTGCTGCTGCAGCGGGCAGACTGGAGACGTCCGCAGCAACAGACTCACCAGGGCCGACGACGAGCTCGTCGTCCGCCTCTTCCTCCCCGTCGCCCTGGAGGTGACCCTAAACCCTAAACCCTAAACCCTAAACCCTAAACCCTAAACCTTAAACCCTAAACCCTAAGCCCTAAACCCTAAACTCTAAACCCTAAAGCGTTCAGGGTGTCCTGCGTCTTGGGCGCCGGAAGCGCAGCGCGCGTGGGTGCTGCAGCAGGGTTTGGGGTTTAGGGTTTAGGGTTTAGGGTTTAGGGTTTAGGGTTTGGCGGCGCGCAGGGTTTGTTCAGCAAAAACCCTCAAACAGCGTCAGGGTTTGAAGACTTGCTGCGGTGTCTGCTGCACTTGGCCCCTGAGCTGTCTCTCGAGCTGCTGCTGCAGCGAGCTGTACATACACTCGAAACCCTCACCGACGCTCACCAGCCCACCGCCCTCGAAATGCTCACTCGCGCTGCCCACGCCCTCGTCACGGTCAGGCCCAGCTAGCCACCGCTAGCTAGCTGGCTAGCTAGCCACAGCTAGCTAGCTGGCTAGCTAGCCACAGCTAGCTAGCTGGCTAGCTAGCCACAGCTAGCTAGCCAGCAGCTAGCTAGCCAGCAGCTAGCGAGCTAGCGAGCTAGCCAGCAGCGAGCTAGCCAGCAGCTAGCTAGCCACCAACTAGCAAGTCGCTAACTAGCCAGCAGATAGCTAGCTGGCTAGCTAGCCAGCAGCTAGCTAGCTGGCTAGCTAGCCAACAGCTAGCTAGCCAGCTGATAGCTAGCCAACAGCTAGCTAGTCAACAGCTTGCTGGCCAGCTGATAGCTAGCCAACAGCTAGCTAGCCAACTGATAGCTGCTGGCTAGCTAGCCAACAGCTAGCTAGCCAGCTGGTAGATAGCCCACAGCCAGCCCCAGCTACACTCAGCCATCTCACAGCTAGCCCCAAACCAGCAAGCCGACAACAGCAGCAGCAGCAGCAGCCGCAGCAGCAGCAGCAGCAGCAGCAGCAGCAGCAGCAGGCGTGTGTGTGCGTCTCAGTTCGCGCCTTCGATGCTCCCCACACTTCTGGATACGACTCTGCAGGGGATCGATCCCGCCGATCCCCTGAAGACTTTCGTGACTCTGTCTTTCCACTCCGTTGTCTTCAGTTACATTCCGCTGCTGGACTGCAGCAGCGTGCCTTCTGCGCTTTCCGACCAGCAGCTGCAGCAGGTCAGCAGCAGCAGCAGCAGCAGCAGCAGCAGCAGCAGCAGCAGCAGCAGCAGCGGCGGGGGCAGGGGCGGGGGCAGGGCG